GGGGGGGGGGTGGAGGATGGGGAGGTGACACACACAGAGCTTGGAGGGACACAAGCAGCCTTTGATGTGCACAGTGAGATCTCTTGACAGAAGCAACAAAGATTCTGACTTGCAAGTTCAATCTGACAGCAGTCTGATGTGGTGAATCATTAGAATTGTCCCTGTTACACAGCTAAGGGTGCTGAGGAGCGAGATTAAGTGACTTGCCCCTGGCCTCAAGGGGAGTCTGTGGCAAAATTAAGGATTTCCTAATTTGCAATCCTGTGGCTCTAAGCACTTGCTCATGGAACTCCACTGCCCTTCACAGCTACAATTTCCCTGGCTTTACCAGTTGCATCTCCACATCACATGCTATGACTGGGACACATCCAGCCTGACTTAATTACCAGGTTTGTGGAAAATCTGGAAATCCCGGACGCCCCATCATCTCAGGCATTGGCACTCTCACTGAAGGGCTGTCTGGCTATGTGGACTCTCTGCTCAGACCCTACACCACCAGCACTCCCAGTTACCTTCGTGACACTACGGATTTCTTGAGAAAACTACAATGCATAGGTGATCTTCCAGAAAACACCATCCTAGCCACCATGGATGTAGAGGCTCTCTACACAAACATCCCACATGCAGATGGAGTACAAGCTGTCAGGAACAGTATTCCTGATGATGCCACAGCACAACTGGTGGCTGAACTCTGTGAATTTATCCTCACACACAACTATTTCAGATTTGGTGACAACATATACCTCCAGACCAGTGGCACTGCTATGGGCACCCGCATGGCCCCACAATACGCCAACATTTTTATGGCTGACCTGGAACAACGCTTCCTCAGCTCTCGTCCACTTACACCCCTTCTCTACCTACGCTACATCGATGACATCTTCATCATCTGGACCCATGGGAAGGAGACTCTGGAAGAATTTCACCATGATTTCAACAGCTTCCACCCCACCATCAACCTCAGCATGGACCAATCTACACGGGAGGTCCATTTCCTGGACACCACGATACAAATAAGTGACGGTCATATCAATACCACCCTATACAGAAAACCTACCGACCGCTATACTTACCTGCATGCCTCCAGTTTCCATCCCGGACACACCACACGATCCATTGTTTACAGCCAAGCACTGAGGTACAACCGCATATGCTCCAACCCCTCAGACAGAGACCTACACCTACAAGACCTTCAACAAGCATTCTGTAAACTGCGATACCCACACGAGGAAGTGAGGAGACAGATTGACAGAGCCAGACGTGTACCCAGAAGCCTCCTGCTACGGGACAAGCCCAAGAAAGAAACCAACAGAACACCACTGGCCATCACCTACAGTCCCCAGCTAAAACCTCTCCAACGCATCATTAGTGATCTTCAGCCCATCCTGGACAATGACCCCTCGCTCTCACAGGCCTTGGGAGGTAGGCCGGTCCTTGCCCACAGACAACCCGCCAACCTGAAGCATATTCTCACCAGCAACTACACACCGCACCATAATAACTCGAACTCAGGAACCAATCCTTGCAACAAACCTCGGTGCCAACTCTGCCCACATATATACACCAGCAACACCATCACAGGACCTAACCAGACCAGCCATACTGTCACTGGTACATTCTCCTGCACATCCACCAACGTAATATATGCCATCATGTGCCAACAATGCCCCACTGCTATATACATCGGCCAAACAGGACAGTCCCTACGTAAAAGAATCAATGGACACAAATCTGATATTAGGAATGGCAACATACAAAAACCTGTAGGGGAACACTTCAATCTTCCTGGACACACAATTGCAGATCTAAAAGTAGCCATCCTGCAGCAAAAAAACTTCAGGACCAGACTTCAAAGAGAAACTGCTGAGCTACAGTTCATCTTTAAGTTTGACACAATCAACTCTGGATTAAACAAAGACTGTGAATGGCTTGCTAACTACAAAAGCAGCTTCTATTCTCTTGGAATTCACACCTCCAGATCAGCTGCTAGAAGTGGGCCTCATCCTCCTTGATTGGATCCACCTGGTCATCTCCAGCCTGATCCTGGCCTGCATATTTATTCCTGCCTCTGGAAATTTCCACTACATGCATCTGACGAAGTGGGTCTTTGCCCACGAAAGCTTATGCTCCTACACTTCAGTTAGTCTATAAGGTGTCACAGGACTCCTCGTCGCTTTTGCAGATTCAGACTAACACAGCTACCCCTCTGATACTATATTTTGTTGTTACTCTCTGAGGTGCCACAGGACTACTTGTTGTTTTTAAAGTTAAAGACTAACAGAGCTATCCTTCTGAGATTTTTCTTTTAAAGGGCCAAGGTAGGGTTCATGTTTATATTCCTAGTGACTGGGCCACAAAGGTGAATAAAAAAGACAGGACCACCTTCTGTTTTAAAACTCAGTTTTATCTATTGAATGCAAAAATCCATCCGTCCAGCCATTCCAAGGCAGGGGATCTTTAAAGTGTAAACACCTGTACAAGAATTCTCATCTGCCTGCTTTTATGAGAAGTTCAGTGCAGTAGAGTCTAGGTCAGTGAGTGGATGTCTTCATTCTCTTGCTTATCTTTCAGTAGAGAGAGAAACCACATGGGTGAGGAAATAGCTTTTTCTGGACCAACTTCTGCTGATGCGAGACACAAGCTTTTGAGCCACACTCAGTTTTTCCTCAGGCCTGGGAAAGGTGCTCAGAGTGTTACAGCAAAAGACAAGGTTGCACAGGACACGTACCATAAGTAGTTTGCACATAGTCTAAGGGCCCATGAGAGGAGAAGTGGCACAATAAGGCATAGCAAGCACTATATGGGCCATAATGTAATGACTTCAAACTCACCTTGAGCATATTGGCGCAGTTAATGGCCGAGCCACCACGGACACACGATACTTGGGGAAGGATGTTGGCATCAGTGAAGGCTGTGCTCATGTCATTACACTTGTCCAGCTCTTGCTCAGAGATGGTGCACCACCGCACATGCTGCAGGCTGAGAGCTGAAACAAAGCACCAGGGCAAGACTCCATGATCAGATAATGCCTATACAACTATGCTCCCTGTGTACTGGTAACAGAAGGGACAGACCACTAAAATTCACAGCTTGTTGAAGGCTATGGCCTACGGCCCCACTCCCATTTTCATTCAACTCTATGAGAGTTTTGTAAATGACTTAATGGGAGCAAGTTTGGATCCATCTCTCATATCGTCACATGCTGATAGAGGAGTATGAAAACAGAGTGGATAAGCGCATACAAAGAATCCCCAGCGCCTATGAGAATGATACAACCTTATTTCCTGGGTATATTGTTTATCCAGTCTCCACAGTTCCCTTAGTTGTGTGGCAAAAAGTTGGGTTTCGATGCAAGTAGCAGCACAGTCCTACTGCGGGGGCTTGGCAGGCTTTGTTAACCGTAAAGTGCTGAAGCTCTTGTAAATGATCAGCAGTAAAATTCAGTCATTTAACACCTGGTGTCTTGGGTTTATGCAACTTTTTATTATCATGAAGAAAAATAAGAACACTACAAAATATCCATTTAAACAACATACTTACCAAGAGCAGCAATATTTAGAGAGCAGCAGCTGTTGTGTCAGTTGTCTGTCGATTCATGGTGAACCTGGGACATATTGAGAAGGTTTTCTTCTCAACTAAGTGCTGGGATGATTGTTTACAATTACACCACGCAAAAGCCAGTGGCTCCCCAGTGAAGTGCCAGTCTAACATAGCACGATGGATTGGCTTGGGTGAAGTCCTGTCTCTTATTCAGCTTAAACAAATAAACAGTCCCTGATGCTCAGAGACCCGGGCGTAAGAATTGGAAGAGCATAGAAGAGAAAAGTTGCTCCCATCATATTTAACTGTAAGAGGCCCCCACTCCTGTCACTCAATGAGATGTATAGATAAATACGCGGGAACTAGGCAGGCATGGTAGATGTCAGTTTCCAATGCAGGAAAGTCACCTGATTATCTAAACTGCACCTGCAAAAACTGCAACACTGCTGTTTGGTTAAACAGATATTTTCAAGTGTCAGTTGGGTAATTGTACATACAAACAAGCACATACGAGAATCAGGAGCTTCTGCTGGGTTTGGTACATGCAGCTGGCCCATGAGCCTCTCTCACAAACACATATTCAATATGCACATTCACAGTTTGAATGGACCCGGGTTAGGATTTGTCTCATTTGCTTGCTACTGTAGCCTTTCTCCAAAGGGACACGTCCACAGCACTGTAAAGTTGAGAGGTTCTATCAGCCTAAGAAAGGATCTAGCACAGCAGCACTCAACAGGCAGGGGCTATGACAAACTTCTCCAGCTTGAAACATTCAGGATATGTCTACATAACAGGGCTAAACTCGAAATAAGCTATGCAACGTGAGCTACACTAATTGTGTAATTGTGTAGCTTAAGTTGAAACAGCTCATTTCGAATTTGGGACCATCTACACGGCACTTTTTTCAAAATAGAGCACTCTTCCTCTGACTTCCCTTACTACTTGAGGGTTACAGGAGTCAGAGTAAGTAGTCCTCCAGCCCAATAATATTTCGACATTATGTCGAAATAGCTGCTTGTGCGTAGATGCGGACTACGTTATTTCAGAATAACATCTATTATTCTGAAATAATGCTGCTGTGTAGACGTACCCTCAGAGTGCTGCAAAAACAGCCATACTAATACCCTCAGCTCTGTTTTGCACAGCAACAGTCACTAAAACAGAGACTGACTCAGGAATAATGCTACTAGTGTCAATAACCTAAAACCAGCAGTGACAGTGCTTTTACTAAGTCATTAGAAAAAAAGACTGAATCCTGACATTTCTCAACCAATTTTCAGACCAACAGGCTGTACTGTTGCAAGCTTCTCACTATGGGTATGTCTACACTACAAAGTTAGTTCGAACTAACGGACTTTAGTTCGAACTAACTTTCATAGGCGCTACACTAGCGCTCCGTTAGTTCGAATTTAATTCAAACTAACGGAGCGCTTAGTTCGAACTAGGTAATTCTCATTCCATGAGGATTAAGCCTAGTTCGAACTTAATAGTTCGAATTAAGGGCTGTGTAGACCCTTAATTCGAACTAGTGGGAGGCTAGCCCTCCCCAGGTTTCCCTGGTGGCCACTCTGGGCACCACCAGGGAAACTCTACTGCCCCCATCCCGGCCCCGGACCCCTTAAAGCGGCACGGGCTGGCTACGGTACCCGTGCCAGGTGCAAGCCTGCCAGCACCCAGCCAGCAGACCCTGCACCTGACA